CTGCACATCAGTGGCCATATTGCCCTGTACCACTTTTTTTATTCATTCAACCCTTGATGGGCATTTAGGTTGGTTCCATGACATTGCTATTTTGAATAGTGCTGCAATGAATATACAAGTTCAGGTGTCTTTTTTATAAAATGATTTCATTTCCTTTGAGTGGATATCCAATAATGGCATCGTTGTGTCAAATGGTTGTTCTATTTTTAGTTCTTTGAGAAATCTCTATACTGTTTTTCATAGAGGTTAAACTAATTTACATTTCCACCAACAGCATATGAGCGTTCCATTTTCTCCACATCCATACCAACATCTATTGTTCTTTCACTTTTTGTGATAACTGTTTTGACTGGTGTAAAATGATATTTCATTGTGGTTTTAATTTACATTTCTCTGATAATTAATGATGTTGAGAATTTTTCATATGTTCATTGACCACTTGTATGTCTTCTTTTGAGAAGTATCTGTTTATGTCCTTTGCCCACTTTTTTATGGCATTGCTTGTGTTTTTCATGTTGTTTGAGCTCCTTGTAGATTTTTAATATTAGTCCTTTGTGGCATAATTTGCAAATATTGTCTCCCATTCTGTAGGTTTTCTGTTCACTCCTTTAATTATTTCTTTTACTGTTCAGAAGTTAATTTGTTAATTAAGTTAGATTTGTCTAATTTTTTTTTCTGCTGCATTTGCTTTGAGGGTTTGTGTCATAAATCATTTGCCCAGACCAATGTCCACAAGAGTTTTTCATAAGCATTCTTCTAGGATTTTTATCATTTCAGGTCTTACAATTAAGTTTTTAGTCCATCTTGAGTTAATTTTTCATGTGGTGAAAAGTATTTACTCTCTTATGAAGATTTCCACATACTTGTAAATACAATTTGTGTATTTTTCTCTTGTTAAACTGCCTGGTGTCAAGTTAGTTTCTAGATCCAGTCCAAGAGCCCACCTAAGAGTTAAGGGAAATTGGAGGTGATTTCTAGCTTCCCAACTGGGCTTGGTAGTTTGACCCTAATAATAATAATAATAATAAATCATAATAATCCTATGTTGGGACCCAGCCACGGAGGCCTGCCTGCTGACAAAGTCCAGGGGGCTGAAGACCCTGGGTCGCAAAGCGAACCTGGGCAGCTGAGACCCTTGCTTCTTCTACTTTTTTTTTAGTGCAGTCGTAAAGTTCTGTACAGTCTGAGAATGGAAAGCAAAATTCCACTCACGCCTCCACTATCCCTTGCAAAAAAGCAAGAGGGGAATTCATGAGAAAATTACCTTCCCTTCATTTGAATTCCTCCCTAGGTTTCCATGTCCCCAGCCTCCTGATATTAAACCATGAAATCACTTAATTAAACACTGTAGTTGGGAAACTTGTAAAAATTCAGAAGGTGCTCGATTTAATGTTTGTCAGGGAACTCACTGGCCTTGCCAGGAAATTATCAATAGAGATTTTAAATATCATGTGCAGGTAGATAATCACTTATAAGATTTTATTTCTTCCTATTGGTGACTAATTGGAGAAATTTGAGAAGCTACAGTTTGTATTTTTAGGAAGAGTGCCAATGCAAAAATTATATTTACTTAATTTCTTAATTTCTACATGTGGTGTATTATGCTTAAAAAATTAACAATCACATAAATATTAGAGCACCCTTGCCTTTACTTCCCTTTGTTAAGGAGGCTTGTAATTCTGGTTAGGGATTGTGACTAAGGTGACTTGAGTCTGAGAGGCCTTTTGTTTTGCAAACATTAAAACTCATTCTCTCTGACAGGAAATAATTAATGCAGATTGTAAACACCAGGTGTTAAATTAGGGAAACCTAGTCAGGCCAACTTGTGGCTAAGAAACCTTGAAAATGTTATTTTACCCCAGCTAGTTGCAAATTGCTGTGTGAAGGTCACAGGTGTAACTTGTTAATCTATGCGATAATTATAGTGCTTAGAACTTGGTAGTGACTTATAATGTAATAGTTATAGGAATAAGTAAGTTTTATATGGACCTTAAGAAATAGTAATCATTAAAAAAGTTAGAAGTTTATAAAATTTATAGTTAATGTTTAGGATGATAATGTTTTAAGATCAAAACAGGATGAACAAAGACACATTGCCTGTCCATCCCATTAAATTGTAACAAATTGCCTTGAAAACAAAAAACATGTAGGGTATAAAAGGAGTTGGAAAAGGCAATAAATCAGCATTTGTCCTGTTTGCAGCAGAGTCCATGTCCAAGTTTTTTCTCCTGTGCCGACGGTGTCCCTTTTTCAGGAAACCCTGACCATAAAGAGGGTAGAACTTGGAGGATTGCCTGAGACCAAGAGTTTAAGGCTGCAGTGAGCTATGTCCCACCACTGCACTTCAGCCTGAATAATAGAGTGAGATCCTTTTTATTGTTCACTGTTTGCAGAATGGGGACACTAGTTGCCCAATCTCCACCAGTACACAATATGCCCATGTAACAAGCATGCACTTGTTCCCCTGAAGCTAAAATTTAAATAAATAACAACAGTGATAAGAACCAAACATGTCAATTTCTCCAATCTATATGCAGGTTCAACACCATTCTTACCAAAATTCATTCTACAAAATATATATATATATATTGCAGATGCAGACAATATTATTCTAAAATTTAAGTGGATGTCAAAGAACTAGAATATGTGAAACATTTTAGAAAAGTAGAAAAGGGGTGGTCTATTTGATATCATGTCTCACAGTAATCAAGAAAGACTGGAATTAGCAATAGATAGACCCACAGATGAATGGAACAGAATAGAGAATCCAGAAGCAGACCACACAAATATGCCCAACTGAATTTTGAAAAATGGTAAAAGCAATTTGTGTTAGGTTAAATAATGGCTTCCTCAAAAATATCCACATCCTAATCCCCAGAGCCTATGATTATGTTATTTTACTTGGCAAAGGAACTTTGCAGATGTGATTAAGAATCTTCATATGAGAAGATTATCCTGGATGTATTCAGATGTTCCCAATGTAATCACAAGGGTCCTTAATGAGGAAATCAAGGTCAGAGCTGGCAAAGAATATGATGGAATCACAGAAGCAGAGTCAGATGAGGGGATGTAAAGATGGAAGCAAAGACTGGAGTGGTACAGCCATGAGCCAAGGAACATGCCAGCTAGAAGCCAGAAGAGGTAAGAAACAAATATTCCCTTATAACTTCCAAAAGGAATTCAGGACCAATGACAGCTTACCTTTAGCCTTATGAGAGCCATTACAGACTTTAGATTTCTAGAACAATAAGGTAATAGAATGGTGTTGTTTTATAGTCACCAAATTTGTAATGATTTGTTACAGCAGCCACCAGAAACTAACTCAATGGATGAAGGATAGTCTTTTCAAGTGGTGCTGAAGTAATTGGACATTAATAGTCCAAAAAAACTCAACCTAAATCTTAAATCGTATACAAAAATCAGCCCTAAATGGATCATAGGCTTAAATGTAAAACATAAAACTATAAAACTTTTAGAAGAAAGCAGTCGAATATCTTCAGACTCTAGGGCTAGGTAAATAATTCTTAGAGTTGACACCAAAAAGTATAATCTGTGACAGGAACAACAGAAAAACTAGACCATCAAAACTGTGGTAAAACTGGTATCTCATCAACATTAAAAACTTTCAAGACACAGTGATCTTTAGAGACATGACTGAATTCACTCTGGAACACTAGGTTTAGTAATTTGACCAGAAGAGACTTAAAAATGTTCTCTTCTCAAAGGCCATTCCTATCAGTTCCTGGAACTTTGGGAATGATTTCAAGGGCAATGGATTTATAATGATATTTAGTGACTTTGGAAATAATGCTGAAGTAAGATAGCTAGTTTAGACATAGGGAATAATGAAAAAGTTACTAAGGCAGAGGTTAAGAAACTTCCTGTGACTTGTAACTGATATGAAACTGACACAACTTCCCTGATTTGTAACTGACACAATGTCATGGGACTTGTAACTGACATTAAGAGGACACACAAAAAACTAGATCAGAGCCAACACTCTCTATCCTTGAGTGTCTCTCTCTCGGAGATTGTGCACTCTGCCTTCTCTCAAGTGTGCACTTTAAGATAAAATTTAACCTTGTCCTTTACTTTCTGTAAACTGTCTTTGAATTCTTTACTGCAATGCAGTCAAGTGTCTGGAAATGGGTAGAGGTTGAGGATTGCATCATTTGGAAAGACAGTTCCAAGTCCCCAAGTAGTCAGCCATCAGTCATGGAAGTGTGCTGTGCCTAACTGGGAAACAGTCTCTCACTGAGGTGATTCTTCTCACCTGGCAGCATCATCTTTGTGATGGGTCAGACAAGGGAGTGGTCTTACAAACGTTTGTCAGGTAAATGAATGTGTCACCCCTTTGATGGAGTATAAGTGTGTCACCACTTGTAAAAGACAGACTGCCTGGTATTCTTAGAATACCAGTCTTGTGTGATTATTAAACTGTGCTGGCAGTGATGCCAGCAGGTGGGCTCCAGACTCAGTGCAAGAGCTCACAGCAAGCCTTCCAGGCCACCATTGCCTGTTCTGACACTTGATTCCTGAGTCTGCTATACCTTGGAATCCTCCACAATAGTCCCTGTGATGTGCATAAAGTCTGCCTCATGCTCTGTCCAATCGCATGTGAAGAAGAAAAAAGAGAAGGAGAAGAAAGAGGAGGAGAAGAGAAACAACAAGAAGGTGAAGAAGAAAAGCAAAGGGAGCTGGGCTCAGTGGCTCAGCCTGCAACCCCGCGTAAAGAATTTTTTTTTTAACCCTTCAAAATAATGTTAATACAAAGGATGCAAATATCAGTCAATCAAAAATGTGGTTCGCCTGACCCTTCTGGGTGTCATGGGAGAGAACACCATTGAATGAAAACGATGATGACAGCTGGACTTCAGATGGAACCGGACTACCTAAAATTGAGTTTCCAGGAAAAATAGGCACTGATTTCTAGAAGGAAATTCACTCCTTACTGAAGCTATCTGCTGAGCCAATATGGCTGGCTCACCCCTTCACTAGTGTCAAGTAACCCAGGCGCTGAAACCAAGTGCGCACGGTCCGACAGCAAGGGGCAATGCCGGGCTACGCCGAGCGTGGCTGTCCCCGCCCTCCGGCTGTGAGGGCCACTCGATTTCATCCCAGGGCCTGGTCCCCTCCTTGCAGGCTGCAGCTGGCTCGCTACCCAAGGTCCCTGCTGCTTTCCCGCGTAAACTGCCTTCGAGCCGGTTAGAAACGCCCGGGAGAAAGCAAGGGGGCAAGGCTGGCGTTACTGCATCCAGGCCGCCCGCCCCAGCCC